TAATTATAATGACAACAACAATAATAGTAATAATAATAATAATAAAAGATGAAGGAAAAAGGAAAATCAATCTAGAATAAGTTTTTGGATATTTTAGGGTATCCTGGAGTATATTTTTAGAAAAGATGGGATCTCGAGGTTCTTTCTACAAAATTGGTGGTACCTAACACCAATTTTTGGGAAAAGATGATGAAAAGAAAACAGCACAAATGAATATGAAATAAGGATGGATGGAAAGTCCCTGCGGAGTTAGTTTTCACATATTTTAAGATATCCCGGAGTATATTTTTAAAAACGAGGGTACCCAGAAGCAATTTTTTGTCACTACCTCTAGGCCACCAAACCGTAACATTCACACCATATCCAAACACTAAATTCACTCCATTAGTTTCAAAATAATTGTTAATACTTACTCCGTATTTAACAAAAATTATTTTTAATCCATGAACTCATATACAACATTTTGTAATTTTAAGACTTTGATAAAAGTTCTAGTTTGAATCATAATATAATACTCCCTCGGTTCTAAAAAAGATTCCTAGTTTGGCGAAGTGTAAAAAATAAGGAAGTGTTAAATTGTAGTTGGCTTCTAATTTTTCCGTTGATGTGATGTGTAAAAGTAAGATGTGGTGGATAGATTATTAGAGCAAAAAGTATTAAGTGATAGGTAGGGTATGAAAAAGTAAGGGTAAAAAAATGAAAGAGAAAGTGTTTTGAGAACAAAGGTAGTAATAGTTTAATAATAATTTGTTTTTATTCAACTTTAATACGGAGTATATTTTAATTATTAAATACGATATCTTTTTAAAATCTAAAAGTTGTAATGTTAATAGTAACTTACATTTATTAACATTTATATAGATTTTTTCTCTTGAAATAAATAAAAGAGAATAATGGTGAATACTTTTAAGGATTATACTCCGTATAACCTTTTTAAGCAAAATTTATATAGACATCGCTTTAAAATAATAAAATAACTATGTAGATTAAAAATGGTGAAATAGATATTGGTATAATACTTAGAAAATAGAAGCTTTTATACAAAATCAATGGTCATTCAATGTATTAACAATAAAAGCTATTTTAATTAATAAAAATTTAAAAGAAGTGGCACCAAAGTTACGTTTTATCATTAAAATTAAAACTAAAAAATATATTATTTTATTTGAAAAGTAATAAAATGAAATAAATGATGAAGAGTTTTAAGCATTTTTTATAATGTTTTTTAACATAATAAAGTTATATAAATTTAGTTGACAGGTCTATTTAGTATTTTAGCGGATGTGAATACCGCCACCTTTTTATGTTCAGCATTTTAATAAAAGAAATCTCCCTGGATAGGAGTAAAAAAGTTTGAAAATACCAAAATAGGAGTCCTAAATCTTTTAAGACTAAAATAGGTGTATAAAGACAGTGTAGTGTAAGAGTACGTGTTGACAATGTCATGGAAAAGTGATGATAGTGTAATATGTCAGTGTGATCTTTCAAGCATCGGTGATGTGCGGTGGCACTCTGGTGGCCGGTGGCTATAGATGGCAGCGTGGCGGTGATAGTGTGACAATTACAATGTGACTATGTGGTAATGTGGTAGTGTAAGAATGAAAGCGTGAACTCGTATTTTTGTCTTAAAAGACGTATGACTCATATTTTGATATTTGTATAGTTTTTAACTCTTATCCTAGGAGTTCTCCCTTTCAATAATGGATGGTTCTGTAGCCGATGGCTTGCAGAGTCACTCCCGCTGTCAAGGTCTTTTTAGAGCACCTAAAATATCTGTGTGTAAAATTAATGATTCACATTCCCTATCTCCCACTCCAGCCCTTACCTTGTCCCCCACCACAACCCCCTCCAAATGTATGGTCAGAAAGCAATTGCCCAATGATCACACATTTGGAAGAGGCTACGGTTGGGACAAAGCAGAAGCTGTGGTCAGTAGCAGACCCAGAAATACTTAATGGAGTCAATTTTTTAGTTCGATAATTCTTCGTTCACGTTTCCTCTTTCTTATTTCATTGATAAAAAGTAGAAAGATACATGTAAAATATTGATACTCTACATAAAAAAATAGAAAGATACATGTAAAATATTGATACTCTACTATGTAATATTGATACTCTACATTAAATTCAAATATTTGTTGTTTGCTTCTGATCCAAGTCACATAATAAAATTGAGACCTTGTATGTTATATGACGATAAGTGAAATGTGTTTACACCTACCACTAGGCCGATGTTTGTATTATGTATGGTTTATTTGATGTTCTTATCTTCTTGTTATATTATAAATATAATTTTGATATGTCTTGAGCGACCCAAACTATCCCTTTGCCCACCAAAATTGTCAGCTTGTTAAAGTATTTACTACAATTTTGGACCGGGAGACAAAGGAGTGTCTAAAAGGTTAGAAGAGTAGGAACGATTTTGGATTAAACTTATAAGTAAGTTCATAACATGTTTTTCTATGCTTGTAAGCTCAGTTATAAGCTACTTATAAGTAAGAAAAAGAAATAGACTTCCTTTTTGACTAGATTATTTACAAAATTATCCTTCAACATTTATAAATCTCAATAAAGCACTTATCTATCATCTAAGAACACTCGAAATACTTTTGAAACCTCGAGGCTTCAAACTAGGATTTCAAAAATTCTCTCTCTACCACTTCAGCTTTAACCTACCTCAAAGTTTCACTAGAAATGGATTTAAAGCCCTCGAGCTTCAAACTTTAACTTTTTTACATTTTGAATACATATTTTATAAAATTAAAATAATAAGATTTTATTAATTAATTGAATTTAAACGAAAATAATTTATTAAATAATAAAATTACATTAATAAAATAAAGATTTGAATAATAATAGCATAAAAAAATTAAAAATGACATTACATTACGAAGACATTACTGATTATTTAAGCGACTAAAACTATGTTCAATCAAATTTGCCGTTATTGTATTGCGAATCTCTCGGCTTCTACTTTTTTGGCGGTTTCTTAGTTTCTTTTCTTCGTCAATTTCTCCATACGTAGGCACCTCCTCGTACGAGTTGTAAAGACAAATTGTAATCTCGTTCTCCTGTATGATCATATTATAAAGAATAATACAGGCGCACATGTTATTCCTCATTTACGTTTGAGAATAACACTTAGACGGGCGATCTAGAATGTGCCACTTACCCTTCAACACCCCGAAGGCTCGTTCGATATTTTTTCTCATCCCCTCATGATCTTTTTTGTAGGCCTGCGTTTAAGACCCATTGGTTTGGAGAGGGACTTCACAATTGTGGAATAATCTGGATATATTCCATCGGAAAGATAATATCCACACTTGTAAAGCGTCCCTTTAAGCTCAAAAGACGAGTCACGTGCAGTCTCATTAATCCAATCTTCAAAAATGGGCGATTGATCAAGAACATTGATGTCATTGTTCGAGTCCGCGACACCAAAAAAGTATGCCACAAGTCATTTGAAGCATAATAGTAGGCTTGGGATGATCACCCCGGGAGAACTGACCTGTCACGCAATGGGACAATTTTTCCATTCCAAATGCATGCAATCGGTGCTCCCAAGCATGCCGACAAAGTCGTGTTTAGCGGCATGCCTCGCCTGTTACTGCTCAATATTGCTAGTTGTAGGCTTACGTAAATGCCTTTTATGATAAAGTCGAATAATAGCTTTAGAAAATTTATAAGCATGTGACCTAATGCTCAAGCCAACATCTTCAAGAATTCATCGAACATATCATTCGTCGTCCCGTACGCCATCTGACAAAGCGTGGCGGTGCACCTCTAGACGATTCGACAACTACACCGACCTCTCGCTTCAAAGCATTGGGTGAACCAATGCACCTCGTGTTTACTATCGACGATTATGCGTAAAAACAAAGGACGGCTCATTCGAAAACGAGTACAACAGTCCTCCGGTGTGCAAACAGTATTGTAGTCGTTGAGTAGTGATTCTGCCTGATCATGGTTTAACGCTCACGTCGAGTTGAGCGTTGGGACAATTCCGCTTCCTCCTGTTGGCCTTGGTGCCACCATTGGTAACAACCCGTCGCGAAACAACGAAAAATGAGAGCTCTTCTTTTGTCGTCAGATGAAGATGATCCCATTTTTTGAATATTTTATAGAGAGAAGTAGATGAAATAAAGTATATTTTAGAGAAACTATAGAGAGAATGAAAATATGTTGTATGTGTTTGTTGTGTTAATTAACTTTTTTTGCGTAACGGCCATAATTTGGACCGTACGGGAGGGGGAACGGTCGAAAAACAGCAACACATAGCTGCATCAAACGTTTAACGCATGAGAGATAGTACACCAATGACGGAGGAGGGGGCGGTGTTTAACGCCCTCCCGACATTAAAACTATGTTTGACGCAGTGGGTGTTACGCCCATTTCCACCGCTCTAAGTCATTTTACGTACTTTCACTAAACAACATTTAACTTATAAGTTAAAAACTGTTTATCAGCAATAAATCAATAAGACTAGCATAAAGAAACACTCTTATAATATGACACTTGAATCAAGTATAAAAACATTGGACACATATAAGCCTTGTTTGGGAACAATAATTTTATTAGGGTTAACGTTTTAAATAAGAAATGATATAAATTAACTTTGAAAACACAACAACTAAACATTGCCGTTGATTAGTCTTTTCAAAACATTAATATAAAATGCTGAACTTGTTCCTAAAATTTATAGTTCTTACCGCCTAACCCACAAAGCCCCCCCACCTCCTTAATTGTCGATTTGACACGATCAATGTGGTGGTGTTGGGGGTGGAAGTGGGGAGAGTGTTAAGTTTGAGGGCAGGGGAAGAAGTTTGGGATTTGGAAGTGGAACTATCAATTTTATAAATGAAAAATCGTAAGTATTATTACATCGAAGTTTAATGTAAAAATGTCAAAAGAATGAAAAAATAACATATACTAATTATCATTATCATCATCATAAATATTTGACATATAAATAAATTAACAACTAGCAAGAATGGTTAAGAAGGCTAACACCACACCAACTCCCAACCTACACTATTCTTATCTTTTTTTACTTCCACATTTCCTTTCATTTCCCTAATTCTTCGCTTCGCGTTCCTCTCTCGTCGCCGGCCGCCGACATTTTCTTATTCCGGTCATCGCCCGCTCTTTTTGCCTCGAAATCCGCCTGATCTTTGCGACATTCATTGCCAATCCGTCCCGGCCCGTTTATAAGATAACGCAGAAATTCAGTTGTGGTGGCCTGTGCCTCCGTGATCGCGGAAAGATGGGAGTTTTCTGATGAATCAATTGCAATGGTTGAACGAAGTTAGCGCCTTCACTCTAAATCCTGGAGGAATATTCTTCGTTCCATTGACGCGGTTGAAGAAAAGGATTCTTTCAATTTATTTCTTAAGAAGTCGTTTTGGTCAGATTTGAGATTTTTTCATCTGGACGGGATATCTCTTGAAAACTGGAAGTTGAGATGATTTCTAGGTAACGTTTTTGATCAATTTAGGAAGGTATTGGATCCCACATTTTTTTAGAACAAGCAATTTGATTGTGCATTTGGGGTGAGATTTTGAGGGATACAACACTGAGAATTGAATGTATGGGGGGATATGTGCAGAGGAGAAGGAGAGGAGAGTGAAGTTGGGAGGCAGAAAGAGAGAAGAGTAGGCGGGCATCAGCTGCAATGGGGATGAAGACCGCGACCAAGTTTGGGGATAGCCGGGTGGAGAAGCTCAAGAGCTCAGTGATTTCGTCCCGGTCAAGAATGAAGCTGTGGATGATAAGGGCGACTACATCCGTGCTGTTGTGGACTTGCTTTGTTCAGCTGACCACTTTGGGGGAGACTTGGGGGCCGAGGGTCTTGAAGGGCTGGCCATCCTGTTTCTCCCAGGAATCCACTTCCGCAATGCATCTCAGTGTGGATCGAGAGGTTCCTGCTAGAGTGCTCCCACCCAAGAGTGAGTAGATTTCCTGCTCCTTTGTTATGTGTGTGTATGCTTGTGTGATCCGATTGTTTTGAAGTTAGTCTTTTGATCTGAAAGGTTGAGAGAGAATATGTACACCGTAGGAGTTATGCTAAGTGGATTGTTAGCACAGATTTTGTATCTACTATTATACTACCTGGGACTTCACAAAATCTCTTAGAGATAAAGTTTCGGTGTTCTCAAAATGACTAGGAAGCATTTAGGAGACTCTCTGGAAACCTCACCTTTATGGTCTTGACAATCCTCATGCTGTCTCAATCCGTTCAAGCTAATGTCATTGCTGTGATTGAAACCATTCTAAGTTATCTTTAGTTCCATTTAAATTGGTCAACTTGCAAGACTGACCTTTGTTGTGATGTTGCTGAATCCAGGGCTTTATAAGAATAACGGGTATCTGATGGTTTCATGTAATGGAGGGCTTAATCAAATGAGGTCAGCGGTATGTAGTTTATCAGCTCACTTACTCATTGGGTCGGAATAGCTTTCTGCTATCAGTGAATTTGATGTTCCATGTGTTCTTGGTTATCTTTTTCTTCTGAGGCTACAGATCTGCGATATGGTTGCCATAGCAAGACATTTGAATGTTACTCTCATTGTTCCTGAGCTTGATAAGACTTCTTTCTGGGCTGATCCAAGGTACTCCTCTTTATCATCTAAAATTCCAAACACTCACGTCCATATCTTGCTTATTGTTTTTCCATTTTTATCATGTGAAAATTGCTCAACTTGCAGTGAGTTTCAAGACATATTTGATGTTGATCATTTCATCACATCTTTGAGAGATGAGGTCCGGATATTAAAAGAGCTACCCCCAAGGCTAAAGAGGAGAGTAGAGCTAGGAATAATCTATACAATGCCACCCATTAGCTGGTCTGATATATTATATTATCAAAATCAGGTTGGTTTTTTTTGTTTTATTTTTTTGGTGGTTTATTGTTTTTAGTCATGGTATTATGCTCTTCTTCCATTCTAATGTTATGTATCTGAAACCAGATTCTACCTTTAATACGGAAATACAAAGTGGTCCATTTGAACAGAACTGATGCTCGGCTTGCAAACAATGGTCAGCCTTTAGAAATCCAGAAACTGAGGTGCCGGGTAAATTTTAGTGCCCTAAAATTCACACAACAGATCGAAGACTTGGGCAGAAAGGTTATCAGCCTTTTAAGGGAAAAAGGTCCTTTCATTGTACTGCATCTTAGATATGAAATGGACATGTTGGCTTTCTCTGGCTGCACCCATGGATGCAACAAGGAGGAGGTTGAAGAGTTGACAAGAATGAGGTAAACTCAAGTTCCCCATGTTTGCATTGTATTAGGTCCTCTGTTAGAAATGATGTTTACTGTGTTTATGGGTAGTCTTGGTACCCCCCACACCCCCACCCCTGCTGGTTTTGTGTGATTGTTATTATTATTACACGTTGTTCTTACTATTATTATTACTAATTCAATGTTAAATATAGGTATGCTTATCCATGGTGGAAGGAAAAAATCATAAATTCAGATTTGAAAAGGAAAGACGGGTTATGCCCATTGACTCCTGAGGAAACTGCTCTTACATTAAAGGCATTAAACATTGATTCCAATATCCAAGTTTACATTGCTGCGGGAGAAATATATGGTGGAGAAAGAAGAATTTCTAGTCTAATGGCATCTTATCCAAACCTGGTTAGTGGAGATAGTGGCATTCCACTTTTTAGCTCCCCATTAATTTGACTTTGGATTTTACATAATGTTTGTGGTTTTCTTATTAAAACAGGTTAGAAAGGAGACACTGTTGGAGCCTGCTGATCTTAGATTCTTTCAAAATCACTCTTCCCAGATGGCCGCACTGGATTACCTCGTTTCATTGGAGAGTGATGTTTTTGTTCCCACATATGATGGAAACATGGCAAAAGTCGTAGAAGGCCATCGCAGGTTCTTCCCCACCACGACATTGTTTTTTTTTCTTTTTCTGGTTTGCGTAAAGTTCTTGGTACCCTGCAATCTCTATAACCACGCCTCTTCTCTTAGAGATGCGTGCCAAGAAACTCCAAAAGCATATGCAATAGTGTACTAGATCTGTTTCAACAAGAGGAATGTTTCTAATGCTAAAAACAAGATTACAAATGACTTTTTTAATCAAATGGACCAGTACATTATTCCATATCATAAGATGCACATTTCTTGGCTCCCCCATTCACCTTCAACAAAACGGTTTTATGAGGCCGCCGGAGGGTACTGTTTTGAGTTTCAAGTTTGTATAAACTTAAAAAAAACTTGCACTTTTTTTATTGAATATAAATTCTCATCCTGATGCTGCATTGTTCTCAGACATCTTGGATACAAGAAGACAATTCTTTTGGACAGAAAGGTTCTGGTTGATTTAATAGACCGGTACGATACTGGGTCAATATCATGGTACGAGTTCTCTAATGCTGTAAAAGAAGCTCATTCTGGTAGGATGGGTAGCCCAAGCCGAAGGTTGGCCATCTCAGATCGACCAAAAGAAGAGGACTATTTCTATGCCAACCCTTGGGAATGCTTGGTTCCATCAAACCACAATGTACCACAAATTAGTTCTTGAAGGCAGTAATGGACCCCCCCCCCCCTACATTGATGCGCTTCAAGGACAATACAAACTACAAGTCATGGGTCTCTACCCCCCCTACCCCCGCCCCGCTACATACACCGAGAAAGCAGGGTTTTGTCCAGAGGGAGTGGGAGACCGCGGAGACGTCATTCTTGAATGTCCTTGGAGGGAGGCCTCCCATTGCAGGTGTAGTGTGTTTTAAACTTAATAAACCAAAAATTTGATGTATAGTAGCTGCCCTGCCATTGCAGGGATATATTGACTGAACGGCTGTGGACACAGATGCAAAATATAGATTTGTTCTTTTTTGAAGCCATGCCCATCCAGACCCTTTTCTCATCTCCCTCCAACTCTCCAAGAATTCTGTTTTTCTTTTTTGTTTAATTGTTTTTTTGTTCTCTTTGCCTTTTTTTTGGGGGGGGGGGGGGG